TCCTTCTCCTCCATCTCTACCTTTCGGGCAATCTCTCAGTTTTACTTTGTAACCAAATCATCCATTTCAGCCCTCTAACTTTGTAGAGGTTTCTCTAGGAGTGCCCGAAGGAGATAGCATGATGCATCACAGCTGATCAAGTTAAAACTCTCCTCTGCTACATAAAATCAACCCAATCTATGCTCCCGTAGAGCCTGGGGACAGAGCCTAGCCCCTTATCCACTGTTCCCCTTTCTGCAGTAAGTAGCCAATGGAAAAAAAAAAGTCACCCCTCTCTTCCTTTTTGTCTGTCCTGAGGGTTGATAATGAAGGGTAATTAACTAAAAGCTTCAGGTAGACTGAGAAACTTTGGACAGGACGGTTGACTTGGCTGATAAAACCTGTGCAAAATTCTGATAAGGCGGACCACATACCAAACCCGCTGGTATCTACCACTTCCAGACTGCAGGGGAACTTACCTTCAGATGGAGTCTTCTGTCTCTAAAGCCCTCCCCCACTTTGTCCTCTAATGCCTCGAGACCCACACACCCCATGCACACAAGCTCCCATTCTGCAGAGGGACCTACAGCCTTTCCCTACGGCCCTTCCCTTCAGCTGCTCTGAGTAGAGCACAGATCCGCTTCTGGAGAGGCTTGTCAGCTTCCTTTCCTTTCTGCAGCACCTCCATCAATCCCCATCTAACACTATGTATGCTCGAATAGAATTCCTGTAACTTTCCCATTGAGTTTTAGTCTGTTTTTAGACAGAATCAAAAGAAATTATATAACCAATTAATATATTAGCTAAGTTGTCCAACTCTTGACACGAAGGAATCAAGATAGTAAAATATTATTCATTTCCAAAATCCGACCAAACGAAAACCCCAATATTCCTCTACTAGAGAGCTACATTATATGGTATTAGGTATTTAGTAATGAATTATTTAATCAATTTCCTGGATCTTTGACAGAAATGGGTAAGGATGATCTCTGCAATATGAATTGCTATGAAGACACAGTATTTCTCAGATTTATGTAACTAGCAAATTACAACAGGGGAGAGAACTGCTTGGATGTTTAATGTGCTATTGTGAAAGGGCTGTTGAATACTAGGAATTTGTATATATATACATATATATCTATGTATATATATATATATACACACATACATAGTGTGTGTGTGTGTGTGTGTGTGTGTGTGTGTGTGTGTGTGTGTGTGTGTGTGTACATACTAGGAATGGTAGTTGCAAAAATAATTCTGGATACTGTGTAGACAACCCATCTAATTACAGATTATAAATCTTAAGACATTAGCCATATATTTAACAAAAATATAGCCTTCTAAGTACTTGCTATACTGGAATAGAAACGAATGGGCATATCAAAATGAAAAGCAGAGTTTGGTTCTGAGGTTCTGATAAACAAGCAGAAACTTCATACACAGAAGCACTGAAACCACTATGTGGCAACTGCAATAATAATGGAGCCCAGAGTTCTGTGAGGTTGCAGAGAAGGGTTATCTAGTCCAACCAGATTGTCAGGAGTTAGGAACATCTTCCTGAAGATGACAACTGATCTAATCTTGAAAATTAAATAGGACTTAAATTTTTGAAAAAGGGGAAGTGGATGAAAAGCAGTTGTTCCAGGCAGAGAAATAGCATGTACAGCAGTAGCCAGGTCTATGAAAGTATAATGCTGTTAGAAAACTACAGAATGTTATAGCTATCGTACAAAGTGTCAGGAAGGGAATGGTGGAAGAACAGGAGAAGAAAGGGTCAGCACAGGGAAAGCCTTGGACTTAAACTGTAGATGGGTTTCTTTGGAGTTTTAAAACTTTCAGAAATCACTATGATTTACTCAGGTGACTAACAGAAATGATGATGCTGTAGTAACTCTGGTAGTTTCCATAGACAATCCTTCTTCCATCCCCTAGGGACAGAAGAGTCTTCTTTGTCTTCCAATCAGAGTTTTGCTCTGTGAGTTAATGCACTGTACAAACTTTGGATCCAGAAGTTAAAATTTGGGAGCTATGTGGACAGAGATGTTAGAAAAGGAAAGATTGCAGATGATTTGTGCAGTTCAAGTGCTCAGTGGTCATCTCTGAATTCCACTCTGGTACCTCACCCCCAGCTTATTCTGGGTTACAATAGTGAATATATTTCTTATTCAGATGGAGTTGTCTTGACCATTCTGAGCTGTATTTTTTCATTTTTACTGTTATCATTATTGAAAGAAGAAATTAAAGAATATCAAAGAGTAAGCCAAGTTTGTGGTATGCAGTTTAAGTGTCCAACATGTTTATGAACCACTGATTAGTACATATAACTTTATTTCATAATGGCAATGATGATTCATTGAAACTCTATTTCTCTCTGCCACCTGAGGGACAGAGGTAGTAGGCAGCTTTCTGCAAGGCAGGAAGGCTTCATGAAGAGGCAAATCTCCAAACCACTTGACTTTTGATTTCTCACCCTCTAAAACAGTGAGAAATAAGTGACTTTGTTTCAACCAACCAGTCTCCTATATATATATATATATATATATATATATATATATATATATATATATATATATATATATTTATAAAAATGCCTAAGGTAAGGTAGTTACCTCAGAAAGATGGAAAAGATGATTAGGAAGATAGGAAGATATACAGAGAGCTTAAATATTGATATTAGTTGGAGTCCAAAATGAAGAAAAGCAGGTGACAATAGGCAAACTTATTTTATTTATGATAAGGAAAACCAAGCCATCTGCTGCAAGGAGAGGCAGAGTCCAGGAAAGAGCTTAGATGTAGAGCAAGTTTAGAACCATTGCCTAGTAGAGTATTAGAAGAGCCATTCAGGAACAAAAAGTGAAAAGATTGGGATGGGAAGAAAAGTCATCCATGTAATCTTTCATGACCTCACCTTAATATTTGTGAAACTCCACTGAAAATATTAAATGTGGTGTAATTCATTCTAAGATTTCTTTCATTGTCAGGATTTATTGGGGGGTGTGAATTTGGTTTTGCTGAAATCTGACATGCTTGTCATTTATGATTAATAAACATTTCTATGGTCTTCAAAGTCATTAAAACACTTCAAAAATTATGCAGAACTCAATCCCCAAATCTCAAGTATTACTCCTTGATAACAATAGCTATTATTTACTTAATGTTCCTTCAGGTTCCAGAAATTTTTCTGGGCATTATGCATTTTAATTCTTAGAATTTTGTAAGAGATAAATTGTTTCCAATTTATGTATAAAGCAACTGAACATTCTGGGGGTTAATGTATCCTATCTAGTACACTGGTTCTGTTTTTCACATTAGTTATTTTTACATGAAACATATTCATATAAAATAGTAATTATTTTCATGGTATGAATTACTTTCCATAGTTTATAAGTAAGGACACACAGGTAGAGAATTCTAAGTGTCCCTGGGTCACATAACAGATAAGCTTAGAATTCAAGCTCAGATTGTCTTGATCTAAACTCTGAGGTTTTGTTCTGAATCAGGCAGTAAAATATGCAGCCTAGATAAGTCCTAAATTTGATTCTAAGTGTTGTCACCATGTTTATCAAAACTATTTTGGTAATTTAGTGCCTTTAATAAGCCCTTTCTTTAACCTAAAGTCTTTTGTAATGATATTTTAAGAATTCAGGGTGAGAACTACTTTCAAGAACTGACCAACAATGTTCCCTTTAAAATAATATTGGACTGGGGTTTTGTGCTTGCCTGGTAAGTAGCATGTGACTACAAATGACTTTATCTCTTTTAACGATGTATTGTTGGTAATAAACTATCATGCATTGGAATGTTAACAAAGAATGAGTCCATGCTCCTGTTTTTTTTTATTTCTAGTAACTAACATGTTTATTTTTTGTTGAGATAAGTGTGTTTGATTCTCAGTAATATTTTCCTAGATAGAATTTTCAGATAATCAACTCAAAATACGCTGACCTCATTAATACTTTCTATAGGAATTCTATAACTCAGGCATTTCCCTAAGCCCACCTTGAAGACTTAAAGTGGAGTGATACACAAAAAGCACCACTCTTTCCCCTGCTTATGACTCTCCAGTTTCTCCCCTTACAGCTTAAAAGTGGTTGGAAGGTGAGGCTGGAGTCATGCTGACTGCCCTTTTCTTTTTGATTTCTTCATCTTGCTTTGTACTTTCTTCTTGGTCCCTAATAACTACAGTCTTTCTCTGGGAGGAATGTCAGAAAGTATGTATCTCTACTGTGCCAACGTGGGTAGCTTTTCCCTTCCTTCACATATTGTCTTCCTTCATCCTCTAAGGTTTTGGATGAAAGCTGAGGATGAACTGTGAAAGCGTCCTGCAGTTTCTGACACCACAGCAAGCCAAGCACCTCCACCACAGGTTTGATCTTTTCCTTTTCCCACAGTAAGAGATGCTAATCTTCTATCCCTCCCTCCCTGCCTACCATGCACACTTCCCTACACAGGAAGCAGTTGTTGTGGTTTTCCTTTGGAGATATTTTTCACTACAAATGTGTCCAGAGAATCCTAGTGCAGATGACGGTAGGACCATTAATTCAGCCTTCAGCAGCATAACACGATTTATGGAGGGCTTGCTTTGCTTTAGTTCCCGTTCTTATCCAATTTACTTACATCTTCTTTCCCATTTCATTTCAGTCCCTGAAACCTTAATTTTTCAATCAGCAGATTGTTTATAAGGGAGAGAAACAAAGAGGGAAGGTTGTGATACAACTATGAAAGTGATACATAAATCCTCCTTTGGTATTCTATATAACTAGAATAAGTTATATGTTAATATTTTTGTTGTTGATCACTGCAAATAATATTTAATTTTTTTAAACAAAATTTTGTTTAAGCAGTTTTATACATTGTATCATTTTAAATAAGACCTTTTTAAAATCTAATTTGAAATAATTTGTCCAGTTAAAATTTATGCTAATTTAACTGCTAAAATTCTAAAAAGCTCAAGTTCATGTTCCTTTACCTCACTTGAAAAGTTCTTGAAAGACATATAAAGGCTATGTTACTTTTCTTACCTCCAAGTTTTGCCCTGATGGAAATGTCTGGTACTTTCCTGGAACTCCATCTCCTGCTCTGTTGCAGTTCTTCTGATAGTATTGTTTGCCTTTTTATTGTTGTTTGAAATCCTTTGTCTGGCCTAGGAACTCGATTTTGAGGTTTCACATCACTGAAACTCACCAGGTTTGGTATGACTCTGCCAATGCCAGGCTTTAAATCAGCATCAGCACCAGCACTCATGAGTCCTGAGCAGGGATCACCTAAGGGCACATCATCACGAAGTGGAAACAATGGATATGCCTGTCCATATGGTGGGGGATAAGGGTAGTGCACATGACAGTCTGGGAGGACTGAAGGGGGATAAGGATGGAACTTTAAAAACGCAGGGTTGCATTTCTTTTCAAATCTGCCATAGTCATGTCTATCTTCAAGTCCTTTCACAAAGGGCATGTTCATTTTCCGTAAGAGATCATGGTAGTGTGGGTAATCTGGATACTCAATAGCCTTTGCTCCTGAGAAGATGAACCTTTTAGAGACACTAATCTTTCCAGGTTGGTTCTTAACCTCCATATCCGTGGAATTTCTCATCATTTTTGAGGATTGTGAATTAAATTCTTTTGATAATTCTTTTCTCTTTAACTATTAAGAACCCATATTTCCAGTAATGGAAGATCTAGCACAAAATTATTAATTCAATTTTCTAAAGGTTAGTAATTTTTTTATCTTAAGGTAATTTTTTTTTCTGGTGAAGGAGTGATAGGAAAGTACAGAAATAGGGCAGAATAATAATAATAATAAAAAAAACCAAAGAGCCTTTGTTGCTTGGCAACTGGTAGAACCATAACTCATGGAACTACTTATTATGTACATCATAATGCATTTTTAGGACCCCACCCCCAAAAAGTGCTAGTAATATTTCCATTACACTTCTTTTTCCAATACTCAGGAAACTAATATCATATACACATCTACATATATGTACATATATGTATTTTCTATGTTTATATTTTGTGGGTAAGATAGCCACTTAAAGAATATACTGAAATTTATCTAGTGAATACATACACATACAGTCTCTCTCTGACACACAAACTACAACTAAGTATTAGCTGATATGTGATAAATTATAAAAATTGGTATGTTTAATTTAAACATACTGCAACAATGAACATGCATTATACTCATTTTTAAGGACAGTAATTCACAAATTATAGCCAAAGTAAAGGTGCATTCCTTATGTGCCTAAAATTATCCTCAGTTTCCTTAAGGCTACCACAATGTACAGAGTGAAAGCAATGAGGGTTTTTATGTTATTTCAGTTAATGGCAACATGAAAAAAAAATCTGTTTCAAATGTTGTGTACCAGTCCACTTAAGATCTGTTTTTAACTAGACAATTTGGTGTTGCATGAAAACTATAAATTGAAGTATTAGAATTTGGAGGATAATAGCCCACACCTTCCTTAAATGAATCAAGCAAGCAAGCCACCAACCAACCAACCAACCAACTAACCAACCAACCAACCAAACAAACAATAGAAACAAACAAAACAAACCAAGCTTCTACAATATCCAGGAACAGAATATATAAATCAGGTCAACTGTATGGCAGTATGTATAAGCAGAATGCGGCCACGCCCACCTTTGATGATGACTGAAATTTTGAGATATACCATTAAGGAGAGGTAAAGTTGAAATAAATGGTTAAGTCTTTCAGCATGAGGTCCTGGACACAATATATCGAAAACATGAAAGTCAGTGAGTTTTTGTCCACTCAGTACCACTCATTTCTTCATATTAAAGTGAAGCCAGATTGTTTTTAGTTGTTCAAAATATTTATATAAGATTTATTTCCATCATATCTCGACTATCATTAAATCCTTCCAAAGGCAGCAAAGTGGATGTATGGTTCTCTTTCCATTTAAAATACGTTTTCATTATAAATGGCCGCTTAGCTGGCTTGGTATGTATTCCTGAATCCAGGTTATGAAAGGTGATCTTCAGTTTCATCTATGGTCATTTCCTCTGCTTTGCTATCGTGCCATCTCTTTAGGCAATACCTTTAATGCCTCCTAGGTGTCCACTGCATCTATCTTCCGTGAAGTTCCACACATTGACAATGTACAAACGGCTGGCATTACTATCGACAGAAACTTTGTGAGGGCTGTACATGCACTGTCACTAGTTCTCAGGATGTGCAGCCATGAGCGGGCACCCAAAGGCTGGAATGTAACACACCGCCAAGGTGATTAAGAAGGGCTTTCCCTTCGACCACAGGCACCACAGAGAAGCAGTTAGAACTTGGGGGCACAAGATTCTTCTCCCAGCTTTGGAATCTCTGACAAGACTTTTAGGTTCTGGAGGGTTCCCTGGGTGGTGCGGTGACCTCAAAGGCAAAGGAGCCCCCTTGGGGATCGACCCCCCTGCCTCCCATGGGCTCCCAAGCCAGCTCCCAAGCTAGCACACCGGCCGCAGACGGCCCGAGCGGAAGTGGCGGCGTGTCCGTCGGTCCGTCCTTCCGGCCCGCCGTCCGCCAACTTCCGGCGGCGGGTGGGCGCGCGCCAGGTAACGACCTTCAGCGCCGAGGCTCGGCCGGCGGCGGTGGCGTGTGGATGGAGGCCTTGGCCCCGGGCCGGGCTCCGCGGGGCCGGCGGCGGGCCGGGGCCGCGGGCTCCACGCTCTCGGCGCTGTCGGTGGCCGCCGTCCTGCTCTCCGCCTTGCTGCGGGCGCCCCCTGCAGGTGAGGCTCGGCGCCGCATGGCGGGCGCATTGCGTTGGCCCCCCCCGAGTCACGTGACCCCGGCTCACACAAAGAAACCCTCCAACCCTCTGTGGCTGATACTGCGCCAGAGAGCCTGGATTTGTGTGGGCGTCCTAAAGAGAACTGCGTGTGCGCAGAGAAGGTCGCGGTTTGAATAATCAGGAGATTATTTATTCAAACGTGAAACTTGAAATGAAAAGTGCCCTAATAAACTGAGGTCCGTGGGTCATCGCCAGCTTTGTGTTTCTGACATGTGTATACAGAGACGTATAGAAAGTGATGTATTGTGAACCCAGCGAGCCTTAAAACATCCTTGATAGTGGAGCGCCCTCTGTTGGTTCTGGATGTAAAATGCAGGGTGTAGCCGGGGTTTTTAAGATTAAACTGTAACACTTCTCACCCTTTCAAAGTATATTTATGCTGGAGAAAGAAAAGAGCGTTTACTAGATTTGCTTTTTAAGTAGAAGAGTTTGGCTGCATTTGTGTGTTTAAACTTACTAACAATAAGCTGTGTCCCATAGATCCTAAAGAAATGTACTAGAGATAACACTTGTCAGAAGTTAAAATTTGTTCCAATAAGGGAGAATGAAAAGCTAAAGTAACCAAGGATACAAACAGAAGGAATGTGAAGAAAGGGATATGGCGGAGAAAGGAAAGAAATGGGGCTTTTTAATTTTTGTTAACTTAAAAGAAACTATAGCCACCTGGGGATAGGAAACCTCAGTTGAAGATTTGTCTCTATCAGATTGACCCCTGAGAGTGCCTGTAGGGGTATTTTCCTAATTGCTTTCGATGTGGGAAGGACCAGTTGTCTGGGGGTGGTGCCATCCCTGGGCAGGTGGTCCTGGGCTGTGTAAGAAAGCAAGCTGAGGAAGGCTGAGGAAGCAAGCCCGCAAGTAGTGTTTCCCCATGCTTCTGCTTCGCGTCCTGCCTCCAGGTTTGTGCTTGAGTCCTTGCCTTGGCTTTCCTGGACAATGTACAACCTGTAAGGTGAAATGAACCCTCTCTATATCCCCCACCCCCAGCTGATTTTGGCAAAATGTTTATCACAGTAACAGAAAGTATACTAAGACACGATGGGGGGGGGGTTATGACGATTACTCCCTATAAAATATAGTCCAGGTGTTTGGTGCAAAGATAGTTCTGTGAGAATAAATTGTCTTTAATTATTCTGTCTAAGAAAGATGCATTGGAATATGGCTCTTGGCCTTATATCTAGTAATGAAAGTTTCTGTTTTTGTTTTAAAATTTTGCCTGGCTTTCTTTTTTCTCCAATAAGGACTATCAAAAATAGGATAAGCAATTAGTATCTTAAAATGTAAACTCTGAGTAGTAAAGGCTGATACTCATATAGCACTTCACAACTCCTATGATAAACCTGTAAGGTTGGAGTTACTGTCAATCTCATTTTGCAGATGAAACCCTCAAACTGGTAGTTTAAGGTAACTTTCTCGATTTCAGTATGTGGTAGAATTTCCATTAAACTCCACTCCAGCCTTTAATGACATGATCTCTCCTTTACACTTGCTTGCTGTTAAGATTCTTTGGGGGTTAATGCTTTACAGTCACTGCATGGCCTTCCCCATTCATTCTGTTCAGAGCATCATGCTGTCATATGTGTTCATTCAACAATGAATGAAGACTAGCAGGATGTTTTTCATAGTCATTGTTTTAATAGTTTCTGCGGCAAAGGCAAGGTGCTTGCAAATAATTCTTGATAAGTTGACTTAAACGCTGGTGCTTCCATCAATGGAGTTTGTACCAAGAAAAATGATGTATGTGTATGAATAACTGCATTTCATTGTAGATTGAGTGTTAAAAGAGAGATGCCAGTTACAATAGCTGAGTAATGAGGACAGGAGGAGGATTTGAGGGGGGAGGTTTCCGATTTGGGTCCTGTAAGGCAGGAGAGTATTAGAAGTAGGCACAGAAAGGTTGGGTTGATTTATAACAGGTGTAAGTCATAGGTATATTAAATTCTTTAAGGAGTATGCAGAACAGTATATAGCAGTCATAGAAAACTGATTTATACTTTTTTGCAATGGAGGCAAGATACTCTTATTTTAATATTTTGGAGCTTTTATAAGACAGACTTAGATCACTTCTTTTTTCTTTTTGTTTTTCATAGTTGGATATTTGGCTCGATTGCCAAGAAGTTTTCGCTTGATTCAAGATTCACTGAAAATAGTGGGATCATCACATTTTCCCGGTACTCATGAATAGCTTTTCAATAATAGAATGTTACTAGCATCCGTTTACAATTTGACAGTCCTGTTGAAAAGGCTAATGGTCCCCAGTTACTCTCCTTCCCGAAGTTGGTTTCCTTCTGCAGAGCTGAATTAAAGTGGTTTCTGTAGAGCTGGAATCATTCAAGTCTAATTCTGTGTGCCAAGAAAAATTATTTCTAAAAGTTAACAAAATTTTCCTATAGTGATTTTACTTGTAACAGATACACTGCTCACTATAATATTAAATGTGGAAAGCTTAAATATGCTAAAATAATTTTCAGTTGAGATCTAAACACCATAAAGATTTTGGATATATGTTTTCAGAGTATTCATATGCGACACAGCAGCTGCAACTTTTTTGGAACTTTCATTGAGTTCATTTTATTTGCCACAAAATGCCTTCTTGCATGTTTTGTAGTTTGTTGACAAGTTTGACAGCCATCAGAACTCTCTAATTCCACATTGTTATTGTATTGTAAAGAAGCTCTTATGCTCACTGAGCAAGTATTCCCGGTCCCCGAACACTGCTAATACTTTGTTTGGTATTTGCTGTTCAGGACTTAAGTAAAATCGCACATTATATGGCCTTTGTGTTCATTTGGTGTGATGGTGTTTTTTTTTTGTTGAGATTGTGTAAATACTTCATTTTATAGTTCAATAATTTTTTTGTATATGAATGTATGTTTTTATTTCTCTTAAGTATATCGTAGGAGAATAGTTCGTGGTTAACATATCAATTATATATATTCAACATATTGAAGAACTGCTAAAATACTTTCCAGAGGGCCTGAACTTGTTTTCCTTCATAGCAGCAGTATATGAAGGTCCAAACTTCTTAACATTCACAACAACACTTGTTACTATCCATCCATGTTTACTATGACCATCTCGTTGTGTGTGAAATGATAGCTTATTGTGGTTTTGAGTTGCATGCTCCTAATACTAATGAGGTGCCTCTTTTCATATATATCTGTATAATATGTAGGTATCTTTTTGTAAGAATGCCTATTTGAGACCATATCTGGTTCTTACTTTTTGTTGTTTTTGTTGAGTTGTAGAGTTTTTTTTATTATGTACTAATACTGTATATAATACTATTTAGTATCCTGGCTGTTGGAAGCTTATTAAACAATATGACTTGCAAACATTTCCTCCCATTCTGTGAATTATATTTTTACTTTTTAAGTCATTTTGAAAAGTACATTTTAAACTTTGATAGTCTTAGTTTATTCTTTGTTTCCTTTTAAGAGTCTCATAGTCTTCACTATGATCCATTCTGAGTTATTTTTTGCTTTTGATACATTAGTGTATGACTGTCATGTTGTTGAAGTCTATCTTGTCATTGTTATTTGGCTGTAGGGTTCATAATGGGCTCTCAATTCTGGTCCATTGGTCTGCATTTCTTTTTCTTATGCCAACATCTTTGTTGTTTAGATTGTTGTTGCTTTATAGTAAGTCTTTAAGTGATTAAATGCAAAGTCTTCAGTTTTGTTTTTTTTAAGATATTTTTGTTGCTACTGTGGGTCCCATGCAATTCCACATCAATTTCAACAAAAAGTACATTGGGCTTTTAAAATAGGAGTTGAATTGAACCTATAGATCAATTTTTGTCACTTATTAATCCTTTCACTCAATGAACATTAAGTAACTTCACATTTATTTAAGCCTAGTTTATCTTCATGTTGCTTTGTAGTTTTCTTTTTAAACTGGAGTGTAAGTTCCCAATTATTGTTTTTTAAAAAATATTTTTAAGAATTTTTAAAATTCATTTTACATACCAACCTCAGATCCCCCTATTATCCCTCCTCCCCCCCTGCCACTCACCCCTCATCCCTTCCTCCAAAAGGGTAAAGGCTTCCATGAGGAGTCAGCAAAGCCAGGAATATTCAGTTGAGGCAGGACCGAGCTCCTCCACCATGCATTAAGGCTGAGCAAGGCGTCCCCCCCCTCCCCGCCCCTATAGGGAATGGGCTCCAAAAAGCCAGCTCATGAACCAGGGATAGAGCCTGATCCCACTGCCAAGGGCCCCTCAAACAGACCAAACTACACAACTGTCTCCTATATGCAAAGGGCCTAGTTCCGTCCCACGTAGGCTCCACAGCTGCTGGTCTAAAGTTTGTGAGTTCCCATGAGCTTGATTCAATTGGCTCTATAGATTTCCACATAATGATTTTGACCTCCCATGTTCAAATAATCCCTCCTCTCTCTCTTCAACTGGACTCCCAGAGCTCAGCCCAGTGCTTGGTTGTGCATCTCTGTATCTGCTTCCATCAGTTACTGGATGAAGACTCTATGATGACATTTAAGGTATTCACCAATCTGATTACAGGGGAAGGCCAGTTCAGGCACCCTCTCCACTATTGTAGTAGTCTTAGCTGGGGCCATCCTTGTGGATTCCTGGGAATTTCCCTAGCACCAGGTTTCTCCCCAACTCTATTATGTCTCCCTCTATCAAGAGATCTCTTTCATTGCTCTCCTGCTCCATCTTTCCACCAGGTCGACCATCCTATTCTCTCATGTTATTATACCCAATTCCCTCCCCTCTATTGCCCCCCATCCCCAGTTTACTCATGAATATATCATCTGTTTCCCTTTCCCAAGGCGATCCATGTGTCCCTCGTAGGGTCCTCCTTGTTTCCTAGCTTCTCTGGAGGTGTGGCTTATAGTCTGATTATCCTTTGCTTTACATCTAATATCCACTAATGAGTGAGTACATACCACGTTTGTCTTTCTGAGTCTGGGTTACCTCACTCAGGATGATTTTTTCTAGTTCCATCCATTTGTCTGCAAATTTCATGATGTTATTGATTTTTACAGCTGAGTAATACTCCATTGTGTATGTATACTATATTTTCTTTATCCCTCCTTTGGTTGAGGGGCATCTAGGTTGTTTCCAGGTTCTGGCTATTACGAATAATACTGCTATGAACATAGCTGAGCAAATTTCCTTGTGGTATGATTGAGCATGCCTTGGGCATATGCACAAGAGTGGTATCATTGGGTCTTGAGGTAGATTGGTTCCCAATTTTCTGAGAAGTTGCCATACTGATTCCCAAAGTGGCTGTACAAGTTTGCATTCCCACCAACAGTAGAGGAGTGTCCCCCTTGATCCGAATCCTCTCCAACATAAGCTGTCCTCAGTGTTTTTGATCTTAGCCATTCTGACAGGTGTAAGGTGGTATCTCAAAGTTGTTTTGACTTGTATTTCCCTGATGACCAAGGATGTTGAGCAATTCCTTAAATGTCTTTTGGCCATTTGAGATTCTTCTGTTGAGAATTCTCTGTTAAGTTCTGTAGCCCAGTTTTTAATTGGATTGTTCAGTATTTTGATGTCTAGTTTCTTGAGTTCTCTATATATGTTGGAGATCAGCTGTTGTTGTTAATTTTCCCCCTTTGCTCTTCTTTTGCGGGCCCGCCACCCAGCTCCCAAATAAATTACACATGGAAGCTTATTATTACTTCTGAATGTCCGGCCTCAGCTTGTCTTAGTTTCTAACTGGCTTTCCTTATCTTAACTTATCCCATCTGTCTTTCCCTCTGGGCTTTTCCCGTTCTCTTACTTCTGTAAATCTCACTCTTACTCCCTGGCTTGCTGTGTAGCTGGGTGGCTGGGTGGCTGGGTGGTTGGGTGGCTGGGTGGTTGGGTGGCTGGGTGGTTGGGTGGTTGGGTGGCTGGGTGGTTGGGTGGCTGGGTGGTTGGTCCTTGAAGTCCTCTTCCTTCTCTGGCTCCTAGATTTCTCCTCCCAGATTTCTCCTTCTGTTTATCCTCTCTGCCTGACAGCCCCACCTATCCCTCTCTCCTGCCTTGCTACTGGCCATTCAGTTCTTTATTAGCTCATCAGGTGTTTTAAATGGGCATAGTAACACAGCTTCACAGAGTCAAACAAATGCAACATAAACAGAAGTAACACACCTTAAAATATTCTACTATAATTAGCCCTCTGTCAGATGTGGGGTTAATGAAGATCTTTTCCCATTCTGTAGGCTGTTGTGTCTTATTTACTGTGTCCTTTGCCTTAGAGAAGCTTTTCAATTTTAGGAGGTCCCATTTATTAATTGTTGCTCTTAGTGTCTGTACTACCGGTGTTATATTTAGGAAATGATCTCCAGTGCCAATGTGTTCTAGTCTACTTCCTACTTTGTTTTCTATCAGGTTCAGTGTAGCTGGATTTATGTTGAGGTCTTTGATCCTCTTGGACTTGAGTTTTGTGCATGGTGATAGATATGGATCTATTTGAAATCTTCTAACTGTTGACATCCAGTTATACCAATACCATTTGTTGAAGATGCTTTCTTTTTTCCATGGTACAGTTTTGGCTTCTTTGTCAAAAATCTGGTGTTCATAGGTGTATGGATTAATGTCAGGGTCTTCAGTTTGATTCCATTGGTCCACATGTCTGTTTTCATGCCAATACCAAGCCATTTTTATTACTACAGCTCTATAGTAGAGCTTGAGATCAGGGATGGTGATGCCTCCAGAGGTTACTTTATTGTACAGGATTGTTTTAGCTATTCTGGGTTTTTTATTTTTGGGGATTGCTTTGAATCTGTAGATTGCTTTTGGTAAGATTGCCATTTTTATTATAGGCTCCACCTATCCTTGAGCATGGGAGAGCTTTTCATTTTCTGATATCTTCTTCAGTTTCTTTCTTCAAGGACTTAAAGTTCATGTCATACAGGTCTTTCACTTGCTTGTTTATAGTTCCCCAATAGAGTTTATATTATTTGTGGCTATTGTAAAGGGTGATGTCTCTCTGATTTCTTTCTTGGCATGTTTATCATTTGTATATAGGAGGGGTCTTGATTTTTTTGAGTTAATCTTATATCCTGCCACATTACTGTAGATGTTTATCAGTTGTAGGAGTTCCCTGGTAGAATTTTTGGGGTCACTTGTGTATACTATCATATCATCTGCAAATAGCAAAATTTGACTTCTTCCTTTCTAATGTGTATCCACTTGATCTCCCTTTGTTGTCTTATT